CTGAGATGCCACTGCTCTTGGGTTCTGGTGGTAGCACAGGGTGACAGCTGCCCCAAGCTCCTCTGTGGGGAATCCGCTGTTTCCCGTTCTCCCGCTGAGCACGAGCTGGAGGGGAGGCTGGCTGGGGGGCTGCAAGGTGCCTCGGGGTACGCAGATGGGGAACCCCATTGCTCCTATGTGCACACAATGGGAAGAAGACCATGTCAAAAACAGACAAGCCAAGCCTTGAGTCTTGCTCCCAGAGTAACCACCCCCACAGTTCTTCAGCCCTGTGTCCACGGGTTTACTAATAGAGTATTTCTTGTTCTCAATTTTAGAACTTATCACACTGACCTCCTACTATAGAAGACTGAAGCTTGATCTTTGGCTGGTTACCAAAACATATCACACACACATATATCCCTCATCTCAACTACATTTTTCTCATGATATTTGGTTTATATGATACTCAGGATTCACACTATGATGGTCCTGTTAAACTGTCCATTGCTGAACCATCCAAAGGACTCTAATTATATTTTTCTATCATGAATGCTCTAAGAATTAGAATTCATAACCACCTGATAGGCAAAAATAACAGCAGTCCAATATTAACAAATGATGGCAAGAGTGTGAAACACGGGAGATCTTCACTGAGTGCTGCAGCCATGTCAGAAACAGGGGCACAGGCAATGATCCAGGAGCTTGCATCCACCCTTGCCTGGCAGCCCCAGAGCTCTACAGACCCTGGGAACCTTGCGAATGTGCATGACAACATGCGCACAAATATTTTTCATATGGCAGAGTTTTATCATAGCAAAAAAAGGAGAAATAAGCTAAGCTCCAAATCCTGAGGAATGTCTAAACTATATAAGGCAGTTAGGATGAACAAAATATTAACGTAACAATGATGCATCTGAAAAGCCCATTGTTAAATGGGAAAAAGAGAACAGTACTAACATTTATGTTAAATTTGAAAATATATAAAATAGGGTCCGGGAAGATGGCTCAGTGGAATAAGCACTTCCCTGGCAAGTGCAAGGGCCTGAGTTCAATCCCCGAGTCAGCCAAAAAAAAAAAAAAAAAAAAAACAAACCAAATCTTT